CCGAACGGACGGGTCTCCGTTAGGGTGGAAAGAGGAATCTGGTGATTTCCGACAGTTGGATGCAAAGTCCTCGGATCTGACCCCCATCTCGGCGCCTCTTAACCCAAATTTGTGTCCCCGGAGCTGAATCCGAAACGCCCAGGTCCCGCGGAGAAGGAACAAAGTCGTCTCCAGACACCATTGCTGGATAATTTGCCCCGCGATTGTCCAAGAATTGTTTCCTTGGGGGTAGATTTGGCATTTGGGATGGAGCCACCGCCACCGTCTTGGTTGGAACCACCATCGTCTTGGTAGGAACCACCATCGTCTTGGTAGGAACCACCATCATCTTGGTTGAAATCATCATCATCTTGCTTGGAACCACCATCACCTTGGTAGGAATCACCATCATCTTGGTTGGAATCACCATCACCTTGGCTGGAACCACCATCACCTTGGTTGGAACTCTCCGGTTGCCGGTAGCCTCTGGAAATCCAGGGGATGGATTTTAACCACAGGGCAGGATCCACCATCTCCCACTGCCTACATCTTCACCGAATGACCTTTGCGGACGGAGATCCTTCCACCGTGAAACCTCAGGGAAGCTGTTGAGATGCCTTCAAGGACCTTGGTGGATTCTAAACCCACTGGTTGGTCTCTAAAGGTTCAAGGACGACCTTTGGGATGATCGAGGATGCTTCTTCAATGAGCAGTTGAAGGAAGATGGTTCCCACCCTCCAACTTTGGCAGCTCTGCCGGGACCGGATAGTGGTGATTTGAAACTCGGGCGTCTCCCATTGCCACCCATCACAAACCAGTCCCACTGGTAAATTCCAATGTCCCAATCTTAGGTGGAAAGCGATTGCAGATACCACGGACCGGAGCCACCTCGCACGCGTTGCGATCGATACAGTTCTTCGCCCAGGTGGTCAACGCTGGGAGTCGTGGCTTTTCCCCTAAATAACCCAAAATGGATCCTCCCCGTCACCCCCGTGACCTGAGGGACTCGACCTGAACCCCCAGGAGAGCAAGGACTTGGTATCTCCCATTTGAAAGTCCTCCTGCAGGGTTTTTGGGGGTGGGAGGGAGGACTTTTTCTTGGAAAACCCACCTTTTTTGTTGCACTCACGATCCTTTTTTATATGTTTTTTTGAAAAATCTGGTCTCCTCCCACTCGGACACAACTCAAGGTCAAAGGTCTTCTCCAGTGGCCTTGATAGAGATGCCACCTGAGGTTCCTGAAAGGCTTTACCTGCATGAAGTTGTAGGTGGAGGCCAGGAGAGACATCAGGAGCACGTGGCGAGGCTTTGGCCTCCTGTTTTGGTGGACACCCAAGCGAAGCTTGGCGTGGTCACGGCCTCAAGATGGTCATGACGTCAAGATGGTCACGGCCTCATGATGGTCACGGCTTCGAGATGGTCACGGCCTTGAGATGGTCACGACCTTGAGATGGTCATGACCTCAAGATGGTCATGGCTTCAAGATGGTCATGACCTCGAGATGGTCATGGCTTTAAGATGGTCATGGCTTTAAGATGGTCACGGCCTCAAGATGGTCGTGGTCTCGAGATGGTCATGGTCTCGAGATGATCATGACCTCAAGATGGTCATGGTTTCAAGATGGTCATGGCTTTAAGATGGTCACGGCCTCGAGATGGTCATGGCCTCGAGATGATGGCTTTCTCAAGATGGTCATGACCTCGAGAAGGTCATGACCTCGTGATGGTGACCCTTCAAACTTCATTCATCACAAATATCCTGACGAGCAGAAGGGCACCTCCTTTCGTCGACGCCTGACGTTGGGTGGGGTGGGATCCTCTCTCAGGTGGGTCCCTTCTTCTGGCCAAGGACCACCAACGTTGGGTGACTCCAGCGGACGCCCATCTACTCCAGCCACCTAAAGTGAAGGAAGATGCCTCCAAAGACCTCTTACCGTTTCTCCTTGCGTCAGGGCTTCTCCCCGCTTGCGTTGACGCAACCGTTTCCTACCCGGGGCCTTGAACTTGGAATCCTGGGTAGGTGAGCCAACCGAGAGGTTTCCAAGCTGGTCCTACAAGCTTCGTCACCAGCCAAGGACGAAGAAATCGGCTCTTTTAGCCGTGCGTCACCCTTTTCGGAGGCCAATCTTAGGTTGGGAGGAACCTCCAAGGTGGAATGGAGGCCCCTCCCAGAGACCCATGGTGAAATCGGTGGCTCCCGGTGACTTCCTTGACGAGCGGTGATTTCCAGGACAGCTCACCGGTGCAATATTTGACGTGACGGTTGGGTCTCGGCGCGGGGAAGAGATCTCCTGGTGGGAGATTCCTCTACTTGGGATGGGTGGTCGGGTCATGGGGTCGTGAGCTTCTCCACCGGGAGAAAAAAAAACGGGTTCAACCGCGGTTGGATTTCAACCGTTCCTGAATTTCACCCAAAAAAAACCCCCCAAAAAAAGCCCGGTGGGACCTCGGTGGGCCGATCGGTAACTCAATCAATTAAAAAATTAACACGGTAAATTAAAAAAGAGGATTTTTTTAGGTTTTTCGGGTGATTTTTGAGTGTCCTGCTGGGAGTTTGAGACCAAAAACCGGAGAACTTTCCCTTTCTTCTCCTTCATCGCGTCTTTTTGGACTCATTTTTTGTGGTTTTTGCGACGTTTC